TGAAGTGGTCCTCTAATGTGTCAGAGGATTGACATTTCAACGTGAGTAATTTACGCCACAGAGTCAATTTCGAAAAGGCACTGTTTCTGACGAAGACAGCTTTTAATGCTTCCAACATTTTCTTGGCAGTCTTGGAGTCTTTGATGATATCCAAGTGCTTGTCTTTGATACCCTGTATGACAATAGCTTTGGCTTTAGCATCTAAAACATCAAAATCCTTCTTACTTTTGGCAACAGCATCTGCTTCTGGGTCGTTGTCCACTACGTCGAGAAGTTGTTCTCTTTCCAAGATCGAGCGTATCCTGAATTGCCAGTTGTTGAAATTAGTGCCGGAGAACACTGGCACATTGATAAATTTCACATTATCATTCATGATTACTTATTGATTGCTTTTTTTCAAGGGTTTTTTTTTTTTTTTTTTTTTTTTTTTCTTCAAATAGCCTATCGGCTAATCCCGTTCAGTTCTCTTAGCCACCTACGTTGATTAAATAAACTTCCTATCAACCTCCCTTAACAATCTACCATCTCCCCAATTCTCATTTTGATACACCCTCAGTTTGAACAGCAAATTCTTCTTAAATGCACCCAACCCCAGCTCTTCTAGTTTATAACACTTAAATTTATTATATTCCCTCACTCCCTTGTAGAAAATCATTTTGTCCACCGAACCCTTATCATGATATGCCCAGACTTTGTCCCCCAGTCTAGTACCTTTAACGTTTTCACTCTCCATCAGTTCTTTAATTCCTGTATCAACTCCTCTTATGTAACCCTTTTTTATTTTATAGATAAAGATAAACACTCTGTATTTAACAAACAATTCAATACATAACCACTCCAATTCATTCAGCATTACTCCAATATTTTCATCCCTCCCCCTATTTAAGATGTACCTCATTGCATTGTTTTGCCCCAATTGTAACCTTTCAATTGCCCCCTTCCCTGCTTCAAATAATATTGTTGTACAATGGTTTAGCAACGACCCTACTAAAGCATAGTACAGCAACTTCTTCCCTTCCATTGTCAATGTATTTTTAACCCTCCATAGCAGACTTACTCTCTTTCTATATTCATTTGATATCTTATCTACCTGTTTATCCCAGTTCAAGTCATCTGTTACTAGAACCCCTAAATACTTATACAACTTTACTCTTTCAATTTTATCCTCCCCTATTTTAATCAGTACCTCAGCAGCCCTTTTTTCTTCCTTAGAGCTGAACACCATGAACTTACACTTACTTATATTTAACTTAAGTTTATTTACCCTTAGCCACTCATCCACTCTAGTTAATTCTGTAGAAAGCTTACCTTGCAATTCTTTGGTGTCTTTACCCGCCAAATAAATTAATGTGTCGTCGGCGAACATGCGCACTTTACATTCATTCAGTACCCCCTTTAAATCATTAATATAGATCAGGAACAAAATTGGTCCTAGTCTGCTCCCTTGAGGTACCCCCAGTTCAACACAAATTTCATCCGACAGCTTTTTATCCCAGTTAACTACCTGCCTTCTATCACTCAGGTAATTTTTTAACCAATCTAATGCTTTACCTTTAATCCCAATATTTTCTAATTTTTTAACCAAAATTTCCCTATCGATTGTTTCAAAAGCCCTCTTTAGGTCCAGAAAAACTCCCACAATAACCTTGTCTTTTTTATCCTCTTCCCTCCATTCTTTAAATAGCATTTGTATCATATCCTCAGTACCCCTCCCCTTCCTAAACCCCCTCTGCTCTTCTATTAAAACATTGTTATTTTCAATATGATCCACCAGTTCTTTAATGACAGCCCCTTCTATAATTTTCTCCACTACTGGGAGTGAATTAATGGGTCGCATTTCCTCAATTTTAGTTGTGTTTTTGACTTTAGGTATAGGTGAAATTATCGCTTTCTTAAGCGCTTTAGGCATTATCCCCTCCTTGAAAGATTTGTTAACTATTTCAGTTATAGCAGCTTTCAGGTGCGCTTTGTGTCCCTTTATTACCGTTGAACACACCGGAAAGTCCCCCACACTATTTTTTAATTTGCCTATAATTTCCTCTACTCTGCATTCTTCTACTACTCCGAAACTTGTTAATAACGAACGCATTTCTCTTATGTTTCCTCCCATTTCCCATTCTCTTTTACAGGTAATAGTATTATTTATCTCATTTATACTCTCAACAAAGTATTTATTAATTGCATTTGCCCCCTCTATACCTGATAGTTTTTTTTCCCCCACTTTTATCATTTTATTGTTCTCTCGCTCATTCTTTTTACTCCCCACCAGTTCATTGAGCACTCTCCATACTTTCTTTCCATCCCTTCTGTATTCCCTTAAAATTTTACATACAGGGTTATTCAAAAGTTACGCACCACTGGCCATAACTTTAGTTCTAATTATGATATCGATTTGCGGTTTGTG